CTTGTAGTGAATCCCTCCCCGGCTCAGACAACGTTTTGTTTTCGTCTTCCGTACACACGTCTTAGTCAAGAAATGAAAAACGTGGGCGTCGACGTGGGCCGGGGAGCTTTCCGGTAATGCTAGTTTGGTTTGTTTTGGTATTGATAATCTCTCGTCGAATTTAAGAAGAAACTTTGTCTAATACATTCAGCGCATTCTTTGTGGTGCGAAAAAAAAACAAAAAAAACATGATTAATGATGAGAGAAGTCTCTCCGAGTTTTCGCCTGCTCATCAAAAGTGAACGAACTTTTTCGCGGCATTATGCCGATACTCGGTGGCTGCCTGCACAGATACAGCAAGCCGCCAATCACGGTATAGTGCGAGGCGTTGATGACAACCAATCGGGCGGGGCGGCTCCCTCCTAACACGGAAATAACATTTAGCGAATGGGTGTGGGGAGGGAGCGAGGAGGGGGAGGGTCGAGCACCACTCCATCGCCCCGCCGCCGCACCTCTTAGTGCTCCCCGCCCCCTCATCACCGACCAGTGCTAATGACCACGTGACCAGCTAACGCGCCTGTTGTACGAGATACTGTACGGCGGTTCGGCTCCGAACAACAGCAACATCGCTGCATTATTGTTATTGGAATAATCCGATTACGTTCGGGCAGGCCGGGTCTACGCCAAGTAAAACTAATAATCCACCCAGGGGCCTTGCTGAAGTACGCGTCACGGTAGTTTCTCTCTCTCTCTCTCTCTCTCTCTCTCTCTCTCTCTCTCTCTCTCTCTCTCTCTCTCTCTGTATGTGTGTGTGTGTGTGTGTGTCTCCGCCCACCCCTTTCTCTCTTTTCACCGTGGTGCCCTTACCCGCCCCCTCCCTCGGGGTGAAGCCTGGACAAATGCAGTTATCTCTTGCTCTGCTGCCGGGCGCTGTGCGGGGCGTGAGCTAACTGACCCTCCCCTGGGTGTGTCGTCACCGGTCGCTCCGGACCCTCTTGCCCGCCCACACTCAAACGGTTCGGAGGTTGACCGATGCTTGACCTGCCTGCGGGTTTAGCTGGAATTCGGCCCGACAGTTCGTACCCAGTTGGTTTTTGGCGGAGAGTGTAATGTGAATGCACGTAATAGGGCGCGAGCAAGAATGGTCTCTCGTAAATCACGATGTATAGAGGGTTTTCTACATCGTGCATAAATTCACAACATGTTTTGCATATTGGAATTACGAAATATATGTTGTAAATTTACGAGGACATTTTTCACAGTGGCGGTTGACTGAAGGTTGGGTGTTGGTTGTTTGGCAGCGCATCCCTCCGTACCGACGCGCGACGCTGACGCCGTACCTTGGAGTATGAGTATGTTATTTTGAGCGGGTCCAATATTGACGGCTGGGAAGTGGGGTGTAGGTCGGCTGTGTAGGAAAGGACTGGGGAAGGGGGGGG